GTCGACTCGTCAGACCACAAAACACGATTCCACTGTGCTACTGTCCATCTCAGACGAGACTGAGCCCAGATAAGTGGGCGGAGCTTCTGGACAGTAAAGCCTTAAAGAGTAAATCCTTAACTTGCATCTGTGGATGCAGCGGCGAATGGTGTCGACTTACGAAGGTTTACAAAAGTATTCCCGAGCCCATGTCAAGATCTCCATTACACACTCATGACAGATTGTAAGACAGTGACGTCTGAGGGATCGGAGATCAGACGCATTCAGAGGTGGTTTTCAGCCTCGCCCTTTACACACCGAGATTTGACCGGATTCCATGAATCTTTTAATTATATTGTCCACTGTAGAAGGTGAAAAACTTCAAATCCTACCCATTTGTCTTTGGGGAATGTTGTTCTCAAAGTGTTGGATTATACTCTGACACATCTGTTGGCAGATCGCTGAGCCTCGACCCATCCTTGCTCTTGAAGAACTAAGCATTTTTTGAAGGCTCCTTATATACTATAATTAGACGATTGCCTCACCTGTTTCACATCACCTTCTTAATTCAACTCGTCACATCGCCATTAGTCCTAAACTTCCCCTGTCCCAACTTTTTTCGGAACGTGTTCCATGCATCAATTTCAAAATAAACGTTTACCTTCAAAAAACTATGGAGTTGACAAGGTAAAACATCAAATACCTTGCCTTTAAAAGTTTTTTGTTTAAATACAAGTACATTTAAGAATCCCTCCACTTTGTTTTTTATTAGCATTTTCCATACTGTCCCAACTTTTTCGGAATTGGGGTTGTAATACTTGTCAACCTCAGCTTCTCATGCCCTTTCTCTTGTGCTTTTCTCAAACTTTCATATATATCATGTTTATTATGAGGATAGACATGGTCAGTTGATGCATTCACTGTGTGTGTACATGTGTGTGTGTGTGTGTGTGTGTACGTGTGTGTGTGCGTGTGCGTGTGTGTGTGTGTGTGTGTGTGGCTGAAAATGGTTTCATTTTCCCCTGACAGTGCCAAGACCTTGCCGCCTAAAAAGGAGATGAAAAAGAATGAAGCTTCTGAGACACAAAATGTGTCCGAGCCATAAAGGACCTTGCTGTGTATACTGTAAAACAATCTTAGTTACCACTGTTCCCTTGTTATTTAGTTAGATAGCGAGCTGGCTATTTAATATTGTCTGATCATGTTTCGGATGTCTAGCTTGATGGTGCTGATTTCTTCCTAGCCCAGACCGTAGATCAGTCTGTAAAACGCTTAAGTTTGATTCACTGATACAGTCACGTTTGGCCTGCTGCTAGATGATAATCACTTAAAGCGCACCTATTATGGATGCCTAATTTTGTTTTAAAGGTCTCACAGAATAGAATCTACACGCATCTGAGGTCTAAAATCACTTTAACGTGCACAAAACGACTCGTGAAATGATCCGTTCTAAACGATTCGTTCTAAACCCCTCCTTACAGAGAGCATACTCTGTTCTAATTTGTCAGATGTCCCAGTCTGTTGTGATTGGTCTAGAGCTGTCAGCGTGTTTCGAAAAGGAAACGCCCACTAGCGTAACGAGTTTCCGCTCCGTCTGTCAGCCGATGAAGACCAGAGGCGGGGTTTATTGTTATAAACCTACGTAGGTTAGAACAGGAAGTAAAGTCTGGAATCACGAACGACTCGATTCAGCTGTTCAGAGTCGATTCCTTCTTTCGGGAGTTGATAACTCCGTTTGTCGTGCGCTTTGATTTTTGAAACTTTGCAGACTTTTTACATTCACAAAACAGCTACGTATATAACACACTGCATGAACGGGAATATTTGAAAATCCATAATAGGTGCACTTAAAGATTTTAAGAACTTTGGTAAATACAATCAGTTATAGCAACACCCTATGATCTGCGCTGGTGTCATTGTGACAGTATGACTGACTGGGCTATTTGCCTTTTATTTTTTTTTCTCTCTTTCTTTTAGCAACAAACCAATGCAAAGGGAATTTTTTTTTGTTTGTTTAAGTGCCATTGAATGCTGAACTGCCTCGTCCCCTGAAATTGTCTCTGATAGAATCCATTGCCACTCTGGTGCGATTTTTTTCCATAAAAATGACCAGATATCCCTTCATTTCATCTCTGTATGTACGAATGAGAGACAGGAATCCACTTTAAATTCTATTTCAGTTACCTGAGGAATGGGGTTTAGATAAAAGAGTGCGTAAGCACTTTCTCTCCAGTGACCTTGCGCCAAAGAGACCCATCAGTCAAAAACGTGAGCCTTGAGGATGTCGGGGGAAAAAAAGAAAGGACAAGGTCGTTATCGTGCAAACACGAGCACATACATGTACACACATACAGTACACACAACACACACACACACACACACTAGGATTTGCAGGAGATCTTCCGTCAAAGCTACGTCTATCTGTAAATGTATGTCTCTTTCGATAGGCTAATAGGTTTCTGCTAATAGGTTTGCTTTAGATTTGAGCCACGAGGCTAATTTTGCTAACAAGCAAGCAATGCCATTAGTATCAAGTTTACAGTCATTCGAACAGCACGCATAAATCACACACTGACATCAAACAGTGACAGATATTTTGTTTATGATCTCAAACAGACTTGTTTATGTGTTTTCTGACACTTTATACCTACGGTGTTTTGAAATCCTGATTCCTGATTGGTCCGAAAATGTGAGTCGAACGAGATCTAACAGCTCATTCGGAGGGACTTGTATGACTGGTGCGCCACGTGATCTAAACCTGGTACTGAACATCAAAGAGTTATTTGTTTCTGAGAGAGACGTATAATGTATAATAAAGTGAGGCTTTCTGTACAGAGACGTTTATGTTTATTTAACGCAGTCTGAGATCGGTTACCGACTGATGCTTAGTAATGCCTACTCAACGTGGCTCAAGATCCCTTTCCAGAATCTTCACACCAATGGTCCCTCAGTGGTGGAATGAACTTCCGACCTCAATCCGGAGCACAGAATCTGTCACCCTCTTCAAAAAACAGCTGAAGACCCACCTCTTCTGTGAACACCTAGCCAACCAATAAAACTCCAACCCCACGTTACTTTCGAACAGTCCGAACGTTTTCGAAAATGTGGAACAGATGGCTTTGACGGTGCCACGTATTCTGGGGTTTTTTTATGTCTCATTAACTTGAAGTGAGGACGAGGAGAGAGGCTGGTGAGGGAATGACTGTTTATAGCTGCTATAATGGAAGTGAGAACAGGAACTTGAATATTGTTTGTGTTGGCTCAGTGGTTACGGCACTGGGTAACTGATCACAACTGTGTGTGTGTGTGTGTGTGTGTGTGTGTGTATGTGTGACAAAAAGGGGGGGGCTGTGGTATGAGACGAATAAAACTCTTTAGGATGTGCTGTTATGGGAAACTACGGAAATCAGAAACCTCAGACGTGTGCTTTATGAGTAAAGTATCAAACTAACACTCTAAATGTAAAACACGTTTGTCCCCTCTCTCTCTCTCTCTCTCTCTTCCTCCCCCTCTCTCTCTCTCTCCCTCTCTCTCTCTCCCTGTCTCTCCCTCTCTCTCTCTCTCTCCCTCTATCTTTCTCTTTCTCCCTCTCTCTCTCTCTCTCTCTCCCTCTCTCTCCTTTCTCTCCCTTCCCTCTCTCCCCTCTCTCTCTCTCTCCTCTCTCCCTCTCTCTCTCTCTCTCTCTCTCCCTCTCTCTCTCCCTCTCTCTCCCTCTCTCTCTCTGATTAAATTACAGTCAATTACTCCATCAAGTGTCTTTCTGTGCAGTGACCAAGCCAGAAGGCCAGCTGATGAGATTGGCTTTATTGGATAAAAGGTTTCTGCTGCTGAGTTTGCTTTACAGACAGACAGGACGACAGACAGACAGACAGACACACAGACAGATAGTAGAGCTTCATTTTTGGAGAAAATGCTTTTATTGAAAATGAAGAGAAAAAAAAGTCATTTTGAAAAGAGCAGTTTTCAGAGGAATACGCTGTGTGTCAAGATATGAGGTTAGTGCACCTTAATAAGGTATATTATTATTTATATATACATATATATATATATACATATATATATAAATGGGGCTGTGCTTTTGCATATTTATAGTTTTTTGGCAGCGATGCTAACACAGACTAATGGTGCTCTACTGAATGTAGCCATTAATGGATGAGATAAATCTCTCTCTCTCTCTCTCTCTCTCTCTCTCTCTGATAAATACTGGTACATCACCTACTACATTAATCACCACTTTACTTAACATTTTCGAGGACAAAAAGTTGCCAAAAGAATTAAAGCATTAAACATTGCTCAGTTCTAACTGGAAGAGGAAAATAATTAATACATGAATAGAAGTCGAGCTGAAATGCCTCACTGGCATCGGATCAGATTTGACATCATTTCATTCTTGTGTATTTATTTATTTATTTTGCAATGAATACCTGACATGACACAGATCTGGTGTTTTGTTTTTTTTTTTTGGGGGTTCCAGCTCAGCTGAGTTAATGCGTTGGTGGGATTATGGGTAACGGCTGATGCTCAGATCTCTGATATCAATATCAAATAAATAAATAACTTTTGCGTGAATCTTTAATTAAGTGATTTATTTTGTTTGGTTTAGATGTCTTTTTGTTGCTCATTGTTGGGTGGCCCATGTGAGCTCATAACTATGTTCTATTTGTCCGTTTAAATCATTCCTTTTGCAATCAAACAGAAATGTGTGGTTTAGAAAGATGCTGAGAATCATCGTGAAATAATACTATCCATTTTCTACCGTTTATTCCTTCTTCAGGGTCGCGGGGGAACCTGGAGCCTATCCCAGGGAGCATGGGGCACAAGGCAGGGTACAGAGTGGACAGGGTGCCAGTCCATCACAGGGCACAATCACATACACACTCACACACACATTCATACACTACGGACACATTAGACATGCCAATCAGACTACCTGTGCATGTGTTTGGACTGGGGGAGGAAACCGGAGTACCCGGAGGAAACCCCCTCAGCACGGGGAGAACATGCAAACTCCGCACACACAGGGACACAGTGGGACTCAAACCCCGACCCTGGAGGTGTGAGGCGAACGTTCTAACCACTAATCCACCGTGCGCCATATTATTATGATTATTATTTCATATCATGTATGGGTTGTACATAAACAGATATTGCCTCTGTTTCCTTGCCTGGAGTGGAACCTATGCTTAGACAGGTGCATCCTATACTCCACTACACAAAACATAAACTAATTAGTGAGGAATGAGTGATGCACGCTATCTAGTTAACTATTTGTCCAATAGGGTGACATTTAGGACATAGTCACGTTTCGTAGAAGCACGTCATGCATGCATCACACACACACACACACACACACACACACACACACACAAACGTTCATTCAGAGGAGGAGGGCTCGGTCCTCCCTTTACGAGCCCGTTGTTCCTCGCTCAGCTCGAGCTCATTCATGTTGTGAGGAGTATGCTGCGCGAGCGCGGACTCGGTGCACACCTGCTGCACAACAGGCGACGATGAGCATCAGCCGCGCCGTTATACGGCCACACTGGTTCCCAGAAAACACTAAATTGCCGTCCATTTGTGCCTCCGTACCGTGCCGCCAAGCCACTTTCCGACATTGCTCGGTCAAATTAAAGTGCACGTGTGTCTTCGCGTGCCGAGGATTCAGGGCACGTTTCATGCGCGCTAGGTGTGCACGAACTTTTTAGCGCGCACGTTCTGATGGATTTTCGCACGAGCGCATGAGATCAGACGGTTCAGAGGATGTCGTCCGTTGTAAACAAGACCAACCTGACGGAGGAGAGCCGGGACGGCGCGGACCCGACCGACGCCAACTGGCACGTCCTCTTCGGCGCGTGTCTCGCGCTCGCCGCCGTGATCTGCGCGGGTGGCGTTTTCTCGCTCGTTTCTCTGCTCAGGACGAGGAGCAGGTCGTCCATGTGCCTCATTGTGGCCTCGCTGTCGGTGGATGACCTGATCTGCGTGGTGCCGCTTTGCCTCGCCATGGTGCTGCAGTGGAGGAGAAATAACGGGACGGCGGAGGCTTGCGACGGAACCATGTGCACTTTATCCGGTCTCCTGTACGTTTTCCAAGGACTCTCGAGCAACATGAAGGCGTGCCTCGTCGTGGCGTACGCGCTGTATGCGACCAAGCGCGTCGGAGCGCGCGAGGAGAGCAGAGGACAAGGAAGAAACGGAAGACGCGGTCGCGTGCTGTGCACGCTCGCGCTGGTGTGGGTGCTGAGCCTGGTGGTGAGTGCGCTCCCGCTGTGCGGCTGGGGACGATTTGCGCGCGCCTCCTTCGGCTGCCTGCCGCACAGCGACGACGTCTACGCGCCGTTCCTCTTCGCGCTCTACGCGCTGTGCGCCGGCGGACTGGCGGTGTGCGCCGCGCCTCTCGCGCACCGGCTCCTTTGCTCCGTCGAGGCGCTCCAGCCCAGCGCTTTCACCTCTCTGTCTCGGGAGAGTTTAGATAGGAGTTTTAGTGGCTTCGGGTCCCACGTGACAGGCCTGAGGAGTAAAAGCGAGACGTGTTCGTGCTCTTCGCCCGCCAGTGAGCTGCGCTTCGATAAGGACGGCGTGCGCCGCTGCCCCGCCAGACTCTTCGCGCAGAAACGCTTCTCGCTGATCTTGGCAATGGCGCGAGTCCTGCTATGGATGCCCATGATGGTGAGATAAACAGGAGACCAGTGGTGGATTTCAACAAGTCCAAAAAAGATCTCTCAGTATTCACCCGGTCTCCTCAGACACATCCTTAATTTCACACACTAACCATTAATTCAACAGATTAAGAGTTAATCAAGTGGATATAGTGTAGGATTTAAGGTACACAATTTGACATCGATTAGTGTTAGATAAAATATTTCCTTTGCAGGTAATCTTCATGCACTTTTCTAGGTAAAAGACACATACTAAATGTACAAAAGGTCCACACATGACACATAATCCCGGACCACTAACATGACTTAATGGCGGTACAAGCTCGGCATGCGTTTTGGGAATTTCATCAGGGAAGGAAGCTTCACTTCTTGCCCGCTGGCCTATCAATTCAGAAAGCTCCCTCACGGTCAGTTTTTAATGCTGGATGAAAAAGAAAACACACCTCCTTCCTGTCCCTGCATGACTGATATAGTCATCCTGTTCAGCCGTGGTGATCACATCATGTAGTTCATACTGTAGCCATCCCTGTTGCAGAACAAACTGGCACAGCTACTTACCGTAAATCAATTCGTCTCTTATATCATTTGCCGATCATTTCTCAATGACCATCACCAGTAGTCGTCTAACCGTCAAATTCAGCTAAAGCGCAGGCGATTCATGAAAAAATAATAAGAGAAGCTAAGAACGCTCTGTTATCTGTAGAAAAAAAAAAAAGAACCCTGTTCAAATAGAAACGGCTTCAGGGCATGCGAAGCCCTGCTGTGTCTTTGCTCTGGAAGTGTTCTTTTTCATTGCTTGTGTCTTTTGGGCAAAGATAAAGAACTGACACATGGTTAACGACGGCAGACTTTAGTCGATTGTTGTCTGAAAGGATGTAGAAATGGTGAGTTTGGAAGAAGCTAATTATTGGACATCGTCTGTTATTCAGGGTAAATCGTGCCTTCAGAGTTGTGTGAATCCCGAGTAAAGCTTTGAAGGCTGAAATTTACTCTGAAATGATTGCGTGTTCCCTGTAATTGCTCTCTCCAGGGTCTGGAGTATTGCACAATATCTCGTGAGCTCTTTGTGCAGTACAGAGCCATTTACGATTCGATTTATTATACTCCTATTCTTATCTTCGAAAAGCTTTTACTGAAACGAGCCGTTTACAAAGACGATGCCCTGCGTCAGTGAGGATCCGAGCGTAGTCCGGCGTCGCGGTATATTACAAGTGCTCTCGTAATGGTTCTGTCGTCAAGGCTTGCATTGTCCTGGATGGACGGGCTTTAATTGTGTTCTATATTGTGACCTCCGCCGTCGTAGTGATATTAACGTTGCCTTTGCAGACGCAGATCCTCGTCAGCCACGTTGTGCGCGTGCACTCCTCATCCGTGGAGACGCTGTGCTTCTTCCTGACCTTGCTCTCAGCTACTGTCACTCCGGTGTTCTGTCTCTCAGAGCGCTGGATTCATCTTCCCTGCGGCTGTTTCATCAACTGCGGGCAGGACGTCGGCTCTGTCTCCTCCGCTAGTGAGTATTTTCATAACCAGCACGTGGACACGGTTTTATTCACTGACCGAATAAGTGTATAAAGAGTCTTTACAAAATGTTTGCCACTTTATTTGTGTCTTTTCAAGTGCATAAAAGGAGGTTCGAATTCAACCTCTCCTTCCAGCAAGGTTACGGCATTTACAAGATACCTCACGCACCCTCGCCCTCTGTGGAGAAGCCCTGCTACAGCAGTCTGTACGATCACGATTTCTCCAAAAGCCGAGTCGCGATCCTAAGCAGCGGGCAGATCACGAGTCTGGCGTCACGTGACTTCCGGAAGATGGTGGTGGAAGAGGAGGAGGACTGCTCCCTTCACGGCAAGCTCCTCTTGGACAGTGCGTCATGCCAGGTGAGAACACAAGCCCCAGAGCAGCTGGACTCAGTGGAGCAGGACACTTTTGGAAAGGTGTCTCCAGCGGTGTCAGGCTGTGACGGGGAGGACCTGAACCTCGACACCTCCTCAGTTTTCGATGGTCCGGAGAGGAGGCTCTCACACGAGGAGTGCCGAAAGATTGAGCTGACCGACTGGGAGTGGTGCAGGAGCAAATCGGAGAGGACGCCGAGACAGGTAGCATCACACCTATACACTCTTGGAAGAACTAATCTAGCACTATTACGTGTTATTGTAATGAGCAGGACTCGGACGAAGTGTGGCGATCCATGTGCATGAGGTTTAATGACAAATCCAATTCACACAATCCAAAATCAAAACCGGTTAAACACAGCAGTACACAATCAATCTAGACAATGGGTGAATCCAAAGAGCAGTCATTAAACTAGTCAAGGGTCAAGAAGACAATCAGAGGCTCGGAACATACACTAACAGAGATGTTGGCAAGACTTTGTGATGTTTATGAGTTTACTGGCTTTTAGTTACAGATCAGAAGGCCGTGTGTTCAAATCAGAGAACCGCCAAACCTTCATGGTTGACCGAGACCCTTAACCTTCAGCTCTGATGTATCCTGCTGACACAGTATGCTGTACACTCAAAGCACATAGGAACTAGCTGAAGTAAACAATGTATATACAGTGAGGGAAAAAGAAGTATTTGATCCCCTGCTGATTTTGTACGTTTGCCCACTGACAAAGAAATGATCAGTCTATAATTTTAATGGTAGATTTATTTGAACAGTGAGAGACAAAATAACAACAAAAAAAAATCAGAAAAACGCATGTCAAAAATGTTATCAATGGATTTGCATTTTAATGAGGGAAATAAGTATTTGACCCCTCTGCAAAACATGACTTAGTACTTGGTGATGACTTAGTAATTACTTTTAATTTTCAATGCCCTGGCTGAGTGAAGGAGGTTCTCACCCATTATCTGATGGTACATGACCCCGTCCATCGTCCCTTTGATGCGGTGAAGTTGTCCTGTCCTCTTAGCAGAAAAACACCCCCAAAGCATTATGTTTCCACCTCCATGTTTGACGGTGGGGATGGTGTTCTTGGGGTCATAAGCTGCCTCCCCCCACACACACACACACACACACACACATGCTGGAAAACACTTCCTCAAAAGAGCATGTACTGTATGAAATTTAAACTTCACTTAAAATTTCTGTAAATGGCAAAAAACACATAAATATATGTTGCATGTATCTGACTCGCACATTTCAGTACAACACTTTCGCCATTTTTTTTTTGGGGTGATGGTGTGACATTTTGAAAAAGTGGAACCGATAAATCTCCCAGCATGACGAAGTGAAACAATCAGTGCATTTCAATTACGCCGTTGTATCTTAACCTTTAATGTATAATTTCTCAAGCCATTAGTCATGCAGTAAATAAATGCAACAAAAAGTTAAAGGCTTTGAAAAGGTGAAGCTTGATTAAACATGTGTGTGATGTACTTGATTGCAAACATCCCACTGCAAATGTCACTACCACTACTACTACTTCTAATAT